ATTAACGACACACCACATTGACTACGTTACTGTTCACATGTAGCAGCGTGCGTTAGCATGAAGCTGGTTTTCACAGGTCTGAACTAAAAATGCCTTCTTCTAACGTAAGGTTCCTTTCTTCCACCTTTTCTCTCCCTGTAGTTTTCTTTAACTCGTGAGAGCAGCGCACCGCACAGAAGCCGGCTCCTTCGCACACGGGGAAAAACGGCAGCACTGGTTTTTCAAAGTAAAATACATTTTAAAGTTTTGTTATATTTAAATTCATTTTAAACTGTGATAATTCATTCTCTGTAGTTTTGTGTCAGTTTAAGGAAGAAGGAAGAGCTCCTGAAGAACTGAGGCCTCCTTTGAACCAGAAGGACATGGAGCCCCTCAACATGAAGCAGGAAGAGGAGGAGCAGCTTGATGAGATTAAAACTGATGCCACCAACATTTCATTCTCTGCAGTTTCTCATCAGGTTAAGGAAGAAGGAAGAGAAGTTCTGTTGTCACAGTTTGATCAGAACCAACCTAAAGACAGAGATCTTCCAACCAGCAGCACCACTGACCAGATGACAGCAGAAAGTGGTAGAGAGGACTGTGGAGGAGCAGAAACTACCAGGAATCCAGATCTAAATCTTTATGAATATGATTCTAACTCTTCAGAGACTGAAGTCAGCAATGATGAAGATGATGACCAGGATGGCAACAATTCTGACTCTCAGCTGAAACTCTTGTCAGATTCTGAGCCAAACACCAAAGATGATAACAAAGACTGGAAGGAGAGCAGGTCTTCTAAATCACATGTTAAGGCTGTCAAATCTTTCAGCTGCCCAGAGTGTGGTGAACAGTTTCTCCATGAGCGGTCTCTCCAGAAACACATGAGAGTGACAAGTCCTTCAGGACTGAAGTCTTCAAGCTGTTGTGTTGATAAGAAACGTGTTAGAGTGAAGCAAAATGTAGACTCTAGCAGGAAAGTTCAGACAAAACTAAAATCATTTAGTTGTGACGACTGTGGAAAAAGTTTCAGCTGCATATCATATTTAAACATTCACATGAGAATTCACACTGGACAGAAGCCTTTTGCTTGTGAGCTCTGTGAAAAAAGATTTAGCCAAAAGGGACATTTAGACACACACATGAGAATCCACACTGGACAGAAGCCTTTTACTTGTGAGCTCTGTGGTCAAAGATTTACCCAAAAGACAAGTTTAAACAGACACACGAGAATCCACACAGGACAGAAGCCTTTTACTTGTGAGCTCTGCGGTCAAAGATTTACCCAAAAGACAAGTTTAATCATACACATGAGAGTTCACACAGGAGAGAAGCCTTTTGCTTGTGAGCTATGTGGACAAAGATTTAGTGATAAGTCAAGTTTAAACAAACACATGAGAGTTCACACAGGGGAGAAGCCTTTTGCTTGTGAGCTCTGTGGACAAAGATTTAGTGATGAGTCAAGTTTAAAGAAACACATTATAGTCCATACAGGACAGAAGCCTTTTGCTTGTGAGCTCTGTGGACAAAGATTTAGTCGAAAGGCACATTTAATCCGTCACACGAGAATCCACACAGGACAGAAGCCTTTTGCTTGTGAGCTCTGTGGACAAAGATTTAGTCATAAGACAAGTTTAAACACTCACATGAGAGTCCACACTGGACAGAAGCCTTTTGTTTGTGAGCTCTGTGGACAAAGGTTTAGTGTAAAGTCTAGTTTAAACAAACACGTGAGAGTCCATACAGGACAGAAGCCTTTTGCTTGTAAGCTCTGTGGACAAAGATTTAGTGTAAAGTCAAGTGTAGACACTCACATGAGAGTCCACACTGGACAGAAGCCTTTATCTTGTGAGCTCTGTGGACAAAGATTTAATCAAAAGTCACAATTAAACAGTCACATGAGAGTTCACACAGGGGAGAAGCCTTTTGCTTGTGAGCTCTGTGGACAAAGATTTAATCGAAAGTCACATTTAAACAGTCACATGAGAGTTCACACAGGGGAGAAGCCTTTTGCTTGTGAGCTCTGTGGACAAAGATTTACCCAAAAGGGACAATTAGACCCACACATGAGAGTCCATACAGGACAGAAGCCTTTTGCTTGTGAGCTCTGTGGACAAAGATTTAGAGTAAAGTCACATTTAAACAGACACATGAGAGTTCACACAGGACAGAAGCCTTTTGCTTGTGAGCTCTGTGGACAAAGGTTTACCCTAAAGGGACATTTAGACACACACATGAGAGTCCATACAGGACAGAAGCCTTTTACTTGTGAGCTCTGTGGACAAAGATTTAGTGTAAAGTCAAGTTTAAACAGACACATGAGAGTTCACACAGGACAGAATTAATTTACATTATTAAAATATACATTTTGGGACTTCTAAGGGTGTTGAATAAAATGTGCTACTGATCTGGAAGCTCTTTTAACTAAAATGAAAGGCAGCAGTTTTATTAAATGTTTTGTTTTTGGAGAAGAAAAGGTTGAAAATGAAATGTTTGTTTGCCACTCAAGTGTTTTATTAAATCTTTGTTCACTATTCAGTTTGTTGTTTGCTGTTTCTGGAGTTTAAACGTAAATGCTGATGTTTTGCAAAGTGAGAAGGCTCGCCATCAAAGTCACCAGATTAATCCACTCATGTAATTATCTGTCATGCAAATAAACCTGATCAAAAATTAATACCTATATTATCCATATTGTTTGGCATCCAAATACAATTGGAAACTCTGATTCACAGTTAGCAAAAGTATAAATCTGGTTTTCTCAAAAATTGACTTTTTTTGTAACAGTTATTAACCAGAATATGTACAATGAACTGTTTTTAACGTTTTTCAGGTAAAATAGTGCAAACTTATTTGAAATAACAGCATAAGATTTGCTCACCGATTCCAGAGTTCATCTAGCTCCACTGCACGGTGTAGCGGCTCTCCCTCGCACATCTACACATAACATTTTACTTTCTGTAATTACAAATCCAAGTTTCACTGTGACATATAGAAAAAGTTCATGTACAAGTTAGAAGGTTTTACTTTGCTGTTTAACGCTAACAGGGTAAGCATCGGATGGAAAGGTAGCAAAGCAGGTTAGCTTCATGTGGCGCTCAGCAAACTGGACAAAACCCGCCACTTCCATCGGTCTAGCTGCTTCACTTCACTCCCAAACCAAGGAAGATTCATCCACCGGCAATGGTACCAACTAATCCAGCTTCTTTTTTCCATTCTTTCTGTTTTTGTAATGTCTGAGGTGCAACCTGAGGTGGAAAGAGTACTACAACTTCCTACTTAAAGGTATAGCAATCGATGTTTCTGAATGTCAGGAAAGAACTGCCCTCTCCACGTTGCGCAACACTCTCCCAGCGCCTGTTTACAAGTAGCTGTCGGCCGTAATGTGTAATAAGAGGCTCTTAAAACAGCATGCAGAACGTTAGCTTACCTCTCGAGCAGAAAACCGGCAACAGGGGTGTCTGTGGAGAGCAGACTGGACCGCGTTATCCTCTTCCTGATTTCCATGAAAGTGCGGGGGTGCACAGAGTACGCATGCGCAGGAAGTGAAAACTAACCCAGGATTGGCTTCACCAGAAATTGACATTATTGCGGACCAATGGTTGACGTGATCCACCCGGAAGAAAAACATCGATTGCTATACCTTTAAATACGAGTACCAATACTTTGATAATTTTTTACTCAAGTACAAGTAAAAGTACTTGCCTAAATTTTTACTCAAGTAAATTTAAAAAGTATCTTAAATAAAATATACTCGAAGTAAAAGATACTTGGTTACATTTTTGTCAGTGTAAGGATGGCTACATCTAAGCAGTGAAAAATCACAACGCCAGTTCACAACACGCTTGTGTGCATGCTCACACACACACACACACACACACACAGTTTGATGGAGGGATTTTTATCCAATCATTGAGAAATGGACGTGCACATTGATTGGACGAGGTTCTTCTAGGATTGTGATTAAAATTATTCTTTATTTTGAAAAAAATTATATATTTTAGACACCATCAGTGTGTGAGGTATCTCAATGTTCTCATGACTAAACTCTAACATGAGACTGTGCTCTAACCTGTCACATAACAAGCTAAATGAAAGTCAGACATTTCAGATGGACCGTATGACAGCTGCTAACGTCGGCCCTGGCCTACTTTACCTCTACATTACAGTTCCTTTATCCGTGTCCATCCTAGAGCTCCTCTCTGACCTTCATGCTTATTTAGAGCAGCTGATGTTTAAAGTTAGCAGAGTTCATCCTTGGTAGTGGGTTCACTCACTCATTTAACCCTTCACCACTGAAATCAGTTTGTTCATCCCAATCCTCCTAAATAATCCTCTGTAGCGTGGTTAACTACATACTAGGATTTAACACTGTTTGCTTCAGTTTGGTTAGATCCTGAGAAAAGATCGGACATTAGCATATGAACTTACATTATGCACAAATATCTAGGATATTAATGCAATCGTTCATACACCAACTGTCTTGGTCTATATTTTAATCCAAAGATTAATGTTTAATTTAAGATAATTAAATATAATAGCAAAAGGTTATTTACTGAATCAGAAGTTAGGAATCTTTGCTTATTCAATAACCAAAATATATACACCATTCTGTGTTTGATTTCAAAGAAGAGTCAGGTTTTTAAAAGTTAAGAATTTATTACTGACACTTTTAAAAATGACAATTTGAAACAGCTTGATATTAAAACTTGTTATTAAACAAACCTGTGTCTGGATGGACAGGGCCGGCTCTAGGTAATTTGGTGCCCAAGGCGAGAGTGCCCATGTGCCCCCCCCCCCCCGTGCCCACCCAAACCCAAGTCCACCCACCCACCACACATTGGAAAAAGCAACTCCACAGTGATTCCTTAGTTACTAATTTTTTATTTTAAATACTCACACAGCAACTCTTTAAAGTCAACAGCCTGAAGAATAAATGTCAGCTTGAAAGATAAGTAACCTGAGAATATTACAATAACCAACAACTCATAATGTTGAGCAAATGTCATTGGGGGGGGGGGGGGGGGGGGGGTGCAAAATCAACAGCAGCATTAAACTGTGCAATCAAAAGCAAAACTCAAACATCAAAGTGTCATCATAAAGAAAGTTCTACTTTCAATTTTGTTCTACTGCTGTGGCCAGTCAGCAGGATCCATGGGGCCAGCAGCTCCTACATGTTCACACACATCTGTTGAAGCTGATGATGGTGTCTCTTCAGGCTGTTGGAGTGGAGCACTGAGTCTGCTGGTGTTGGGTTCTTCTTCTGTGAGAAAATAAACACACACACACACACACACACACACACACACACACACACACACACACACACACACACACACACACACACACACACACACACACACACACACACACACACACACACACACAAAGTAACTTAACCCTCTGATGCATGAATTAAGAACAGCGCTACTTTCACGTTCAGTATTCCTCGGTCATGTGCAGTGATGCTTTTCATTATTTTTAATGTTACTGGACTTTTTATTTTATTGATCTTTTTTCATCTGTTCTATGAAAACATGAATAAAATTATCAAAAACAGGTGGAAGTGGGGAATATTTGAAAAAACTTATGTCTCACTCTCAGGTGCTCTTCAGCATCAAATAAATGTAGAACATGAGGAAGAAGAACCGGTGATCTGAGGCACTCTGAGGATTTCATTTATTAAACAAGGAAACACCGACGCGTTTCTGTACGACCTTCTTCAGGACATAAACCTTTATACCTTGAAGATGACTCACTATGTCACAAAAACTAACGTCCATCCTTTTTTACAAATTTACAGCCTAACTGACAATAACATCTTAAGGAGACAATTTCAGATGTGTGTGTTCAGATTATTTAATATTCTCAATGCTAAATCAATGCTGCACTGATTGTGCCAAAAACAAGTGTCTGGTGTGGATTTAAATAAATTAATTTTACATATCGATATATGTGATAAGCCGTTTAATTTGAAAAAGCCCGTTTCTACTGCTGATTACAAATAGCCTAACAAGTAACTTACTCACCTGGTTCTAGATGCTGAGACTGTAGCTCAGTAAATGTGCTGCTGCTGCGTGATGCCTGGATGAAGACGCTGCAGCGTAAACAAGAAAGAGACGGCATAAGATGTCATGCTGTGTTTAGGCAGTTCTCACTCCCCGCCGGGCCCGGCGGCAGCGGGGGAGTCCCCGCCACGGCCGCGGCGGTGCCGCCCGCCCGACATGAAGGACAAAGTTGAAAATTTGCTACACCCACACCTAACGTTCTTCTGATATGAAAATATTAAATTCATATTGTATGCGTACTTAAAACTTGAAACAACGTTCATAAAAGGCTGCAATCAAGCTCCAAAAACCAGTAAAAAATCTTACATTCTTCATCATCACAGTGAGACTCAACATTGTCTCACTGCATCTGGACACGACGATTCAAAAGTAAAATGAATGGGTTAAAGTTACAGATACTGTATTGTGTATGTAAACAGCTAGCGAGGGTCCGTCCGTGGACCGTGCGTGGCAGGAGAGGCAGTTAGCTACAATGCTAACGCAAAAAGTTCCTTTGCCAAACTTATAAAGTCTACATACCTCTGCTTTGGGCCCGTTTTTATTCTTCTTCCTTCCTTCGCTTTGGGAATGCTGATCCCGATGGCTTAGGTGTTCTTTTCATCGTAAAATATCAAAAGTTTAAACGCGACAACAACAGGATGTCCTTCTGTGCTACCCACACACGTGATCTATGGCACCCTTAACGGTCAAATGCATCGGAGCGGTGGCCCAAGCGGGAGCTCGAAATGCAGCCAGATTATTAGAATTTAAATTTTGATGTTTTAATTTCATGTCATTTCAGAGTGGAATTTTGAGTGTGTAGAGAGCGCATTTCATATAACAAACATAAACTTAATAAACTTTTTATTTTGCACCCTGTTCATCAGATGGAGCCCTAGGGCCGCCTGTCAGCAAAGCCGGTGTCGGTACAGGATCTGCTCGGGTGCAAAATTGGCTCGGGGTCCGTCGACTGCCGATGACGTCTAAGTAGTTGATTGGCTGAACATTACGGAAGTTACGTAATCACGTTACGTTGTTATCACGTTACGTTGGTCCAGGCAAATCTTTCTGTTGGAAAGATGGACAACTTTTACAAAGAAATCCATCATTACCTCTTTGAAAATACACTTTTAGCATAGAGCTGCATGTATATTAGCAGGGCCAGATTAAGACTTTGTTGTACCCTGGGCAACAATATTCAAGGGCCCCATCATCACGACCCAAGGATCACCATAATATGGTCACATACAGAATATTTTACTGTAATATGCAGTAAATATACTCAATACTTGAATGCCTGACATCACGTAACCCGCTCAGGGTAACCTTTGACCCACCTTGTGTGGACTGACCAATGAGGAGAGGGTCTTAACTTGAGGCCGTCTCTTCATTGGTCAGTCTGCATGAGACTGACTCTCAACTGACGTTCAGTCGTAGGCAGCGAAGCGTCTCTGTGCAGCGCAAAAGCCCGGGTGGACAGTTTGTTTAATATAGGGTGACCATATTTCCATTTCCAAACAAGAGGACAGGGGATCTGTGCCTATGACGTCACTATGGCAACGCCACACAAACCACGCTGGGACCCATTTTTTGTAAGAACTACATTAATATCAGATTCTGTCAATAAAAGGGCTCTAAAACAATTCATATGTAAATATTTAGCATGTTTATTGCAAAATCTCATTTTTCTGCTTTAGTGCTGCAACAAGGTTTTATTAATAATAAATTATTATACCTTTTGTTTTACTACAGCATCGGTACGCTTCCTGTGCACAGATTATTAAGGATGCTTGTTTCAGCTGTGAGATTAGACGATAGGGTCAATGAAAACATAAGTTGTCCCACACTCCATGGAAACTTTCAGAGAATCCACAAATAGTGGCTTTCAAATGGTTTTGTTACTTTTTACAAGTTTAGAAAAGCAGCAGATGAGACAGCATGTCTGATAATTTAGTTTTTCATCTGATAATATTAGAACATGTCAGTAATGTCTGAGGGGCTTTTATAAACACTGTATAACTAATACTCCTGGAGAGGTTATGAATTACACAGAGGCTTCTGGGGAGCCCAGTTATGGGGGGGGGGGGGGGGGGGGGCATTTTGCCTTGGACCCCAAAATGTCTTGAAACGACCCTGGGTGTGTGACTGAGTTTTGAGGGTGATCTGAATTGTATCAGATGTATAAATAGTAAATGTGTATAACTTATTGTTTTATACAGGTAAAAACGTGTAGTGGAGATAAATCTACCTACTTTTGACTTTTCAACACTTTGTTTTCTTGTTTTTATTGAACTATTTCCTGTCCTGTCTGTCTCTCATCTTTCTGCGTCTCCTCTAAACTCTCCAGAAAATCTGCTGCCTGGATTCTTACTTTTTCACCTCAGCAGTTACTTCTGAGCAGATCAAAGGGATCTCCTGACCGTAAAGCGCAGAGCGCGTTTCGATGCTGCGTCAGTGAGGTGAAATCACCACAGCACAGGTGATGAGCTCCGCAGTAGCAGAGCGCTTCAGGCACAAATAAGACAGAAAATAGAGAACATGTGCGGACATGAACGATCGTGTGCTAATTCTAGTTTTTTGGTTGTGCCACTTTGAGAATGGACCGTGCGCTGGACGCAGCAGCCTGGATCGCTGCGCAACAACGATCAGCGCGCTGTGCCGCTCTCTGTGCTCTCTGCTCAAAAGAGTCCATAAATAATGTAATATAGGTAGAAAACGGCTCCCCTGGATGTGTAGGATATACAGTTCCCCCATAATTCGATCTCTGCTCCTGGATGAAAAACCGGACATTTTCATCAATACAAGAACCCCCCCCCCGGACGCCCGAATAGAGAGTGAAAAGTAGACATGTCTGGGGAAAACAGGACGTATGGTCACCCTAGTTTAATATAAAGCGGGAGATTACAGATACAGTACTTTGCTCGTGCCCTTGCTCCCCTGGGCCCTTTAGAGTTCGTGGGCCCTGGACAATTGCCCAGTTGCCCGTATGGTTAATCCGGCCTTGACCCACTGACAAGCCGACTCTGATCATTGGCAGCTCCATAGTCAGAAACGTGGCATTAGAGGCTCCAGCAACCATCGTTAAATGTTTACCTGGGGCCAGAGCGGGCGACATTAAATCTTATCTGAAACTGCTGGCTAAGGATAAGCGTAAATACAGTAAGATTGTTATTCACGCTGGCGGTAACGACACCAGATTACGCCAATCGGAGGTCACTAAAATTAATGTTGCTTCGGTGTGTAAGTTTGCCAAAACAATGTCGGACTCCGTAATTTTCTCTGGCCCCCTGCCTGATCGGACCAGTGACGACATGTTTAGCCGCATGCTGTCCTTCAACCGCTGGCTGTCTAGGTGGTGTCCTGAAAACAACGTGGGCTACATTGATAATTGGAAAACTTTTTGGGGAAAACCTGGTCTGATGCGGAGAGACGGCATCCATCCCTCTTTGGATGGAGCAGCTCTTCTTTCTAGGAACATGGCCAGTTTTATTAGTCCTCCATGACTACCCAGGGTCCAGACCAGGAAGCAGAGTCGTAGTTTAACCCACCCCTCTGCAGCTTCTGTACTGTTACCCACCCACTACCCCATAGAGACAGTGTCCTGCCCACGGCCAAAACCACACAGATTAAATATCAGGCTTAGTAAAGCAAATCATGGAAATCTCATAAATATTAGAACAAATTCAACTGAGCAGAAGACTAGAAAAATTAAATGTGGGTTGTTGAACATTAGATCCATTTTTTCTAAGACTTTGTTAGCTACCAAAACCAAATGATTTAAAGATGCATTTCCTTTGGTTACTGTCATGGTCTGCATCTCCCCTCATGTGTCTCCTTGTGTTCTCCATCCCTCTCTAGGTTCTCCTTTTGTGTCTCCTAGCGCCCTCATGTGTCTCCTGGTGTTCCCCATTTGCCCCCAGATCTTCTGCCCTCTAGGTTTCCCTCCTCAGATATTCCCCTCCTGTGCTCCCGTGGCCCCCTGCAGTCACGCCCCTGTAGTTTTTCTTTCCGTAGTGTTTTCCTTTAGTTTCAGATTCCCCCCTTGAATATTAGTTATGTTTGTCTGCCCTTCTGGTCTTTAGGTTTTTCTCCTAGGTCATTTTCTTTAGCTGCAGCTGTTCATATTATTAGTCTCTCTAGTGTGTTTTTCCCACCAGTGTTTGAGCCCCCCCCCCCCCCCCCCCCCCCCCCACCCCCGATTATTAAGTTATGTTCCCTGCTCTTATTGTCTTCAGGTTTTATTCTTAGGTCATGTCAGTTTCCTCCCTGATTAGTAATTGAGTTCACCTGGTCTCTCTCTCCCCACACACCTGCAATTCATCTCCCTCTCATCCTCCCCAGTGTATATAACCCTGTCTGTGTCTCTATGTGTTGTCGGCCCATTGTTCTTGTCAGTCTCGTCTCGTTCCTGTTCCTAGCTTCCAGTGTTTCTAGTTCTCTAGTGTTTTTGATGACTCCGTTTAGATTTTTTATTTTTGGCTCACTGCCTTTGGATTACTACCTTAATAAAGGATTTTTACTTTATCCTCCACCTCTGCCTCGTTCCTCTGGTATCTGCATCTTGGGTCCTAAAACATCCTCCTACACCAACTCGTGACAGAATGGACCGACCATCCAGGACCCAGCAGAGACTCCAGATGTACAGATACGATGGTGATCCTGAGACCTGCTGGACTTTTATTCAGGACTGTGCTGGCTGCCTGGACTTAAATTCTTCTGAATTCAACAAGGTGTCTTTCATGGTGCTTTGCCTGGGAGGCAAAGCTCTGCGGTGGGCCACCAGCTACTTCGACCATCACCCCATAACAGATGTCTCCTTTTGGCGCTTTGCGAAGGACCTATTATTAACCTTCGGCTCCACTCCACCACCACCTTCCGTCAGTATCTCCACGACCCGGATTTACCAAACCTCCCTACCCTCACCCGGTCCGGACAGCACCACCTCTCCATCTCCGGTGGGCTGTCAATCCTCATCTCCATCTGTTTCAGCCGGCACCATCGCGGAACCTTCGATGGGCCGAGCCACCACACCTCCACCAGGTCCAGTTGGCATTGCCGGCGTTATCCCCGCACCTCCTAGGAGCTGTACTCGTCGCAGACGTCACCACCATCACCAGCAGTCCCCAGAGTTGTGCCACCTATCCAAGAGGCCCCTGCAACCTCAGCCCGAGCCCCTTCCATTAACCAGCAGATCATCCACTCGTCGTCGACGTCACCACCAACACCAGCAGTCTCCTGAAGCCAGAGCTGTGCCGCCTGTCCAAGAGGCCCCTGCTCTGCAGTCCAAGTCTGAGCTCCACCTGCCTTCACCGTATCCAGTCCCAGAGGCCGCACCTCAGCCTGTCCAAGAGCCTCCGGTCCTGCCCGTCCACAAGGTTCCGGTCCCGCCCGTCCACGAGGTTCTGGTGTGTCTAGTGGTATTTGTTAGAACCTCCAGCCCCAAGATCAAGTGAACCCTGTGTAACAAACAAACAATGTGAGTGTTTTAATTGAATAAGGAAAACATTTTTATACCCAGGTTTCTTTCTCGTCTGTTCTTATCTTTTTCTCTTAGCTTCTTAAAGGGAGTTGCGAAGCATAGCAAGTTAAAACATAACAGGAAGCAGAGTAAATGTACATATATTCCTATTATGCAATGTGTTTTGAGGTGAAGTCACAGTAGGGTTGTGATTTGGTGGGAACTTTACTGCCAGAATTTCAGTTTGTGTATTTTATTTTGCAATATGCACACTGTTTGTTACATTGGTCTTTTATTGTGAAGGGTTCTCATGTAGGAACACATTTTCAATGTGTTGGTTCCGGTGGTGCAAAAAAGAGAGATGCACGCTCATGAGAGGTTCAAGCATGGACTGTTAAACATAGAAGTTCAGAGATTTTTCTTTTAAGATACTTATTTCTGCCTTTAAGCACGGGTCAGCCAACGAGGTATGTTTTATGTATCATAAGTGTCATTTTTTGTTGCTTCTTACCGTATTCTGTCTCACTGCATTTATGTGTTGTTTTAGTTCCACCGTGGCACAAGACTGAAAAACTTGATGCTGTAACCACAAGATTTACTACCAGTTAGTCGAGTTCATGCCATCAGTGACAGAACTCTTTATTGACGTAAAGAAAAACATTAAAGAAAGGGCAGAAGTAAAAGAGAAGGAATGATCCTTGTAGATTGTACATCCTCGATACAAGTGCTGCATCCCACGTTGTTGTCCTTTACCCTAGATCGGGGTCGCTTCCAGCCCATGAGCCAACACTTCCTGTCCTGGAAACCACAAATTGCGGCCATCAAGATGTAAATGTTGCTTAGAAATAAATGCTGATAATTAGCTTAAACAGCACACCGGCATCAGGGAGGCTTAGGTTGTTTATAAGGTTAGATCATGGTGGTAATGTGCCACAATCGTGTCCTTATTACAAAACATTGTGTGATGGCTGTTTAAAGGGGGTATGGGGATGGTCCATCTTTAGCATTTGTGTTTCTGTGCTTACGATCCGTGTTCGGTTGTAGTCCAGTACATGGTTTTCCCTTGTGCAGTGGTCTGTTCCAGCTGATTTCTTTTGTGTACTTTCTGCTTCTTGTTTCGCTGCTCTTGTGTTTCTTTGATCTTTATGATCTTTATTTCACTTTACTATGTTCTATTTTCATGTGTTGAGTTTAGGAATGAAACGATTCATTGAACGATTCAAATGGTTTGATTCATTAAGTTCATCGAGTCATTTCTCACTGATTCAAAGGTTGGTTAATTGTGCGCACCACAGTCTGAACACATTTACTGGTGCACCATGAGATGGTCTAGGTGCTGTGGAGGAAAAAAGAGAAACCAGCAAAGACAGAAACGACTGGAAATGGAAGAAATGGTTTATTTATAGAGCGCCTTTCACAGATATAAATCACAAAGCGTTGTACAACATGATAAAGATCAGGGCAAATACCTCCAACCAATAAAAACATCAGAAAAACAATAGCAGTGATAAAGTAGAAAATAAAATCATGAGTATAAACAAAGTGAAGGTGTGAACCCGAACAAAGCCATCATTCTGAAACATTTAGGGAGGGAACGCCTGGATGAAAAGGTGAGTTTTTAGATGATTTTTAAAGACCTCTACAGTGTTAGAGAGAGATTTGAAGGCAGACTGTTCCAAAGTCTGGGTGCAATAGTCTGAAAGGCCCTGTCCCCTTTGGTTTTCAGTCTGGTTCGAGGAACAGCCAGGAGGTTTTCAGATGTGGATCTAAGGTTCCGAGAGGTGGTGTGTGCGGATAAAAGCTCAGATAGGTAGCTTGGAGCCTGGTTGTTAAGCGCTCTATAGGTCAGGACTAAAACTTTAAACTGTATTCTATATTCTACCGGGAGCCAGTGGAGGGACTGTAAACCTGGAGTGATGTGAGCTCGTCTGCTGGATTTGGTTAGGAGTCTGGCTGCTGCATTTTGGATGGCTTGAAGGCGTGAGAGGGAGGTTTTGCTGAGACCAGTAAAAAGAGCGTTACAGTAGTCTAAGCGTGATGACACAAAGGCATGGATGATTTTTTCCAGATCTGCAGTAGAAACCAGTTTACGGACTTTTGAAATGTTTCTCAGTTGGATGAAACAAGAGCAGGAGATGGTTTTGACGTGTGAGTCTAAACTTAAAGCTGGATCAAAAATAACTCCTAGGTTTCTAATGTTGGCCTTGGCTGATGGGAAAAAAGGAAGAAATGGTCCTAAGTTTGGGATCAAGAGTTGAACTACGGGCAGATTGGCTAATGCTAAGCTAGCGTGTTGCACGCTCACGATTACGTGGAGTTCCAAAAAAAGTGATGGTTGTGAATATCTCTACAAGCGGAAGAAAAATCCCCACCAGCTTGTTGTGTGGATGTGTGCAGCTGCTACCTGGAGTCAGGTTGTTGCTGCTGAGAGTCGGCAACTGGAGTCTGCTCCAGACACCGCAGCAGGGCTGTAGCAAGCAGCTGTAGCATGTAATTCACAAATGCTTCCATATTTCAATACAGCTTAGTCTGGATTATGTTGCCAACCTGTACATAATACAATAGATAAGCCACCATCACATTGTTACTGGTAGTTATTACATGTTGTTATAATTTCCAGAAGCTTGCTGCTGAACACGTGACTGAAATACATAAATTGTACTGATTATATGTGACTTTAGATATGTTTAGACTAGGAAGAGTGATGGTAAACCTTCACTAAACGTCATGAGTGATGAAGGAAGCCATAGAGATAAGGAGACGTGGATGCGGGACCATGAACAGAGACGATGGGGTCTACACATTGGATCGTGCATGGGACTGTGTCATCAGTGAGGGGAGAGCGGGCAGCAGAGGGCGACGTCCTCTGCTGCCCGCGGATAAACGGCGTAGGAAGTGACGCCACCATCAGAGTCAGCTCTGAGGAAGTTTACAGCCACGAACAAAACTGTCAGCAATGTTAAAAAAAACCTTTTCTGTGTTTTAAAAAGAACCAAAAATGCAACGTCATACTAAAACAAGTCACTTTAGTGTTAACCCTCTCAGGCTCAAAATAAGTCTTGATAAAAGGACGAACAACTAAGTCCTTCAGGGGAACTTCTGAGTTAAAAATGCTCATGAAGTACGTATGTGGAGTAACCAGGTAGGTAGGTTTTTACGTTGCTAATCTGCAACGCCTGCCTCCAGAGGGTTAAACAAATTATTAAATCTGAAATCAGCTTTAGTCTTCAGTTTGTTCTCAATGTGCATGGCATAACGGATGGTGGCCCTCGCTAGTTTAGAAACTCTGGATACGGCCCTGCTACTGTCTCTCATCAGAAGCGCACGCGAAGCACCGCAGCTAGAGAGGAAGAAGCCTGTGGTTTTTCAAAATAAGGTAAAAAAAATTTTACATTTCATGATATTTAAATTATTTCAAACTGTGTGTGTGTGTGTGTGTGTGTGTGTGTGTGTGTGTGTGTGTGTGTGTGTGTGTGTGTGTGTGTGTATTTTCTCACAGAAGAAGAACCCAACACCAGCAGACTCAGTGCTCCACTCCAACAGCCTGAAGAGACACCATCATCAGCTTCAACAGATGTGTGTGAACATGTGTGAGCTGCTGGCCCCATGGATCCTGCTGACTGGCCACAGCAGTAGAACAAAATGGAAAGTAGAACTTTCTTTATGATGACACTTTGATATTTGAGTTTTGCTTTTGATTGCACAGTTTAATGCTGCTTTTGATTTTTCATCCTCACTCCAATGATGTTTGCTCAACATTTTGAGTTGTTGGTTATTGTAATATTCTCAGGTTACTTATCTTTCAAGCTGACATTTATTCTTCAGGCTGTTGACTTTAAAGAGTTGCTGTGTGAATATTTAAAATTAAAAATTCGTAACTAAGGAATCACTGTGGAGTTGCTTTTTCCAATGTGTGGTGGTCGGGTGGACTTGGGTTTGGCTGAGAGGTGTGCAGGCACGTGGGCGGGGGGGGGGGGGGGGGGGGGCACATGGGCACTCTCGCCTTGGGCGCCAAATTACCTAGAGCCGGCCCTGCGGGTTGCGATTTGTTGTGGTTGGACTTTTATGTTGAAGGGCTGTTCTTGGCCGGCTGTGTGCAGAGTTCCGGTTCGGTTGTTTAGAAGAAAACGAGCTAGTGTGATCGGAGATCGTTAACGGTGTTTCTGCTGGAGTTAAGACGTGGGCTGCGGCCAACAGTAACCCGGAATAAAGATCCGAAACGGAAACAACAAGTTGGAGTCATTAGCATCTCTTAGAAAAGGCAACAAAAGTGTGTTTTATAGGTGTGGTGGCTTTTGTTGAGCCGTGGCGGTGCGACACGAACTAGTTTAGCCCAGCAGAAAGGCCCCGCGGCTGGCTGGACCCAGCTCGACACAGCAGCAGAGCGGTAAGCTTCATATCACTCTAAAATGTCGGCTAACTTTACTGTACACGTTCATTTACGGGCATTAGCAGCGTGCTAGCATTAGCATCCCACCTGCTAACGCTAGCACAACATGCTAGTAATGTTAGCACCCAGATTAATGTGGATTCGGACGATTTTCGTGGAATAAAACGTGATCTGGGAATTGTGATGAACGCCTTTTTACACCAGATGATAACCTTCCACTGACTGTAGCAGCAGAGCGCCTGTGTGTGTTACTCCGTGAGTGTGATGTGATGTTAGCATCCAGTAAATAAATCCCATATCAGCTAAAGAGCAGCGCGACTAAACGAGGCTGAAGTTACCTTCCGATTCGGGAAACGGCTAAAGGGCCATTACACACAATTTTTCTCTACTCTGACCTTATTTAATCTCCTCTACCTCAAAAACTACAACACCCACACTATTCAGACCTGTTCTAGAATATTCTACTATAAAAGCAGATCAAATTAAACAGTATAGGATTTGTGGTCCTTTCCCTGATTTGTGAAACTTCAACAAAGCCTGATTTATGGGGGTTTTCAGCATCTGGCCAAAGATGGAACAGCTGTAGCTCAAAAACTACAACAGACACTCTGTTAAACCTGTTCTAGATTATTCTACAATAGCAGATTGCATACAACCCTGTTTTGGATTTGTGAAACTAGGGCTGCACGATATTAGGAAAACCTGCGATATTCGATAACAGTGCTTAATATTGCGATATCGATATTACTCACGATAAATGAACAAATACTAAAGTATGCAGTGTTGATGTCGTCTGGCGTGTGACGTCTGCTCTGGGTTCAAAGCAAACAAAAACTAATGCATGAATTCCATTACAACATAACATTTTTATTGCAAAAACATGCATCTGCACCTGCTACTGTATTAGCAGCTGCACCTGCTACCGTATTAGCAGCTGTACCTGCTACTGTATTAGCAGCTGTACCTGCTACTGTATTAGCAGCTACACCTGCTACTGTATTAGCAGCTGCACCTGCTACCGTATTAGCAGCTGCACCTGCTACCGTATTAGCAGCTGCACCCGCTACTGTATTAGCAGCTGTACCTGCTACTGTATTAGCAGCTACACCTGCTACTGTATTAGCAGCTGCACCTGCTACTGTATTAGCAGCTGCACCTGCTACCGTATTAGCAGCTGCACCTGCTACTGTATTAGCAGCTGCACCTGCTACTGTATTAGCAGCTGCACCTGCTACTGTATTAGCAGCTGCACCTGCTACTGTATTAGCAGCTGCACCTGCTACTGTATTAGCAGCTGCACCCGCTACCATGTTAGCAGCTGCACCCGCTACCGTATTAGCAGCTGCACCTGCTACTGTATTAGCAGCTGCGCCTGCTAATGTATTAGCAGCTGCACCCGCTACTGTATTAGCAGCTGCACCTGCTACTGTATTAGCAGCTGCACCTGCTACCGTGTTAGCAGCTGCACCTGCTAATGTATTAGCAGCTGCACCCGCTACTGTATTAGCAGCTGCACCTGCTACTGTATTAGCAGCTGCACCTGCTACCGTGTTAGCAGCTGCACCTGCTACTGTATTAGCAGCTGCACCTGCTACCGTGTTAGCAGCTGCACCTGCTACTGTATTAGCAGCTGCACCCGCTACTGTATTAGCAGCTGCACCTGCTACCGTGTTAGCAGCTGCACCTGCTACTGTATTAGCAGCTGCACCCGCTACTGTATTAGCAGCTGCACCTGCTACTGTATTAGCAGCTGCACCTGCTACCGTGTTAGCAGCTGCGCCTGCTAATGTATTAGCAGCTGCACCTAATACTGTACTAGCAGTTGCACCTGCTACTGTATTTGCAGCTGCACCCGCTACTGTATTTGCAGCTGCACCTGCTACTGTATTAGCAGCTGCACCTAATACTGTACTAGCAGTTGCACCTGCTACTGTATTTGCAGCTGCACCCGCTACTGTATTTGCAGTTGCACCTGCTACTGTATTTGCAGCTGCACCCGCTACTGTATTTGCAGCTGCACCTGCTACTGTATTAGCAGCTGCACCTAATACTGTACTAGCAGTTGCACCTGCTACTGTATTAGCAGCTGCACCCGCTACTGTATTAGCAGCTGCACCCGCTACTGTATTTGCAGCTGCACCCGCTACTGTATTAGCAGCTGCACCCGCTACTGTATTAGCAGCTGCACCCGCTACTGTATTTGCAGCTGCACCCGCTACCGTGTTAGCAGCTGCACCTGCTACCGTATTAGCAGCTGCACCTGCTACTGTATTAGCAGCTGCACCTGCTACTGTATTAGCAGCTGCACCCGCTACTGTACTAGCAGATGCACCCGCTACTGTATTAGCAGCTGCACCCGCTACTGTATTAGCAGCTGCACCTGCTACCGTGTTAGCAGCTGCGCCTGCTAATGTATTAGCAGCTGCACCTGCTACTGTATTAGCAGCTGCACCTGCTACCGTATTAGCAGCTGCACCCGCTACCGTATTAGCATCTGCACCTGCTACTGTATTAGCAGCTGTACCTGCTACTGTATTAGCAGCTGCACCTGCTACCGTATTAGCAGCTGCACCCGCTACTGTATTAGCATCTGCACCTGCTACTGTATTAGCAGCTGCACCCGCTACCGTATTAGCAGCTACACCTGCTACTGTATTAGCAGCTGCACCTGCTACTGTATTAGCAGCAAAACAACAAACTGCTAGCATGCAGTTTCTCAGTGACTTTAAAACATCACCTCCACCATAAAACTTTCTCTGATGCTCCAAATACAGAAAAACATCCCTTACCAGGGTTTTTAGAATAAATAAAAACATCATAAAATAAGTTTAAATGTTAAATAATAGTTAACATCACTTAAATGCAACAGCAAATTTCCTCATTGCTACTGAACATGTTCTCCACTTATGTGGTTATGATATGAGGCTGTTGCTGTAACTGGGAAGTGAACTGTGCTGGGCCAAACTAGGAGAATATTAAGATTTTCTGAGGGAAAGAGAAAAACAATTGTCTACCTTTCAGAAGAGGAACTGGCAAAAAACCACATGGAAAATATGTGAAAACGTTTGTTTTTAACCCCAAATTGAACAAGTTTACCTAGATCTTATTCATCATTATATATATAAAAAATTTTTTCATTTCCATTTAATACTTGTTCAGCTGCTGTTTTGTACAGATATTTTTATTTCTTCATACATTCTTATACATTTACATACTGTGTATTTTGTTGTACAGTTACTTTATTCTCAACTACAACTTATATATATTTTATCTTATTCCTTCCCAGCTAAATTTACCTTTTATTCTAATTTGTATTGTATTGTGTATTTTGTTGTAAAGCTATTCTATTATTCAACTTTAATTCAGATATAATTTACTTTACTCTTTCCCAGTTAAATTGACCCTTCATTTTAATGCGTGGTGTACAGTTTATTTTTATTTTCAACTCTTAGGTCACGAGCAGTTGTGTAAGGCATTTCACTGCATTTTGTACTGTGTATGAATGTGTATGTGACTAGAGCTGAAACAACTAATCGATTTAATCGATTATAATCGATTATTAAAATAGTTAACAACTTTTTTAGTCATCGATTAGTTGTTTAATAATCATATTTTACCGCATAAAGTCTATTTTTTACCACAATCTGACATCGGTTACAAGCTGTTAAATTTGCCGCCAGTGTGTGGCAGTAATGAGCCACTGATCTACCAGTGGAGCCGTAGAAGAAGAAATGAGCCAATGGGTGCCCTCGGTTTTCATGACGTATCACGTTACTGACGCTCATCTTGCTGTGAGAGATGGCGGAACAAGAGGAAATACGGAAGAAAAATAGAAGCGACAAAACTGAAGAGAAACCCCGGACAAAAACCTCACGAGTATGGGAGCACATTTGAGACGAAAGCATGTGGGGGCTGATGCAGCAGAGGAAGAGCACCGCGGTCAAGTGAGCCGTCATTTGGAAGAGCCAGCCCGGTAAGTAACAGAAAATAAACAAGCTGGACTTAGTGTTTTAGCTGAGTTCGTTATAGTGGATGTTAAACATGTTTTTTTGCCGCGTCAGTCTGCGGTGTTCTACTTCTGATTGACTAGATGCAATCGTGAATCTCCTCCGTGTTGTGTATCATGCGCTTGCCAAATTTAGCACGTCTGTTTATAAGAATGTTCTCGTTAAGAGAAAAACGGCACAAACCCATGACTATGTTCCTCATTCAAAAAAGGACAACTCCGCGGAGAAAAATTTACAGACAAGCTGTGTCCAGGTGAATATAACGCGGCATAGTTGTACACTTTCAATTTTTAAATACAGGAGAAATTCAGAAAAAGTCATTTTTTTTACTATTAAAAGGCTGTTTTACTATCTAACGCTGTAAAACGCCTCACAACACATTTTTATCATGTTTCTTAAACAGTATTACACAAAATAAACATTTTTCACATTTCTCTGGCTAATTTAAACACTCCCGACTCAAAGTAAAAACCTCATGAGCTTCTTACTTAGAGCTTTTTAATAGTAAAAATGTTTTACTTTTTTTCTGAATATCTCCTGTTGCGGGCTATTTTGTAGAACGTAACCCTCAAAATAAATGATCACTGTATATTGTTAATTAATTCAAATAATATAATATTGATTTAGTGTTGTAGTGTGTGTGCTGCTTTATTTTATATGTGTACTTATTTCAGTCTATTTGTGTTTCTTATGCAGAAAAAAACAAGCAACGATGGACAACTACATGGGGAAGAAGACACTCACCCCCCAGCAATTCATACCACTTACAAACTCTATTCTAAACATGCTGGTAAAAGACATGAGGCCACTATCCATGGTGGAAGGAGCAGGCTTCCAGCTAATGCTAAAAATTATTCTGGACTGATATTTTGCACTGTTTAGCTCATTTTATACTGCTGACTGTGTTCATGTGCAATAAAATAGATTGCAGTCAACTGCACAATTCTCTTATGTTTTTTTGTTCTTAACTGAAATGCATCCATCACTTGTATAGGTTAAATAGCTAAACAATAACAAACCGATTAATCGATTAATCGAAAAAATAATCGACAGATTAATCGATTATGAAAATAATCGTTAGTTGCAGCCCTATATGTGACAAATAAAAATTGAATTTGAATTTAAAAAGCAGCTCAGATGATGAAACTGCAACTATGATTCTGATAACAAGCTAACAACGTGAACTAGCTCCTCTAAGATAAGCGGCTAGCAGAGCTTCTGACTGACAGTTTATGTGCAGCAGCAAATCAACTATCCTGATTAACAAGGTTATAAAAGCTCATGAAGGAAAAATCACTTTGATGTGTGGGGGAACTTTTCCAGGCCCTCTTTAGCAGGGTGGGACTGGGAGGAGAGTGCTGTAGCCTTTTAGCTGGAAGCTAACCGGAGCCTGGGGCTAACACTAGCGACATGAAGGTGGGTTGGTTCACCGGCACGTGTCGGAGTCAGCCCGGTAAAAATGATTAACGACACCGAGCGGACTCACGTTCACGTTTGAAAGCAGCGAGGAGTCCAGAAAAATCAGCATAAAGTGTGTTTGATAACAGAGCTGTTCTCAGGCTGGGTCTTCCCTAAGGGGAAGGATCCATTTTATGGAGTTGCTTGCTGGTCAGCCAAAAACTGCTGAGTCACTCAGAAACTATGGGTTCCTGTTGCCGGGCAGATTATTCCACCAACCCCCACAGAGACAAATTACATGTCTTATCAGCATACCAGAGCTGGGCTGAAAGGACAACGCCCTGAGACTTACTTTAAAACATGATTACTTAAAAAGAACATTTAAGACAGGAAAATACATTAAAGCTTTAACTCTCACCGACACTCGTCTGCATGAGCGTCAGAAATCTGATCAAATCAGCTGTAAAATAATGAAAACAACAGTAAAAAGGCTCCTTTGCTTTTTAGAGTCCACATCCAGAAGGCTGGAGCCGTGTTTCACTGACAGGCTGTCAGACTAACGCCCTGATGAGCTCAGCTGGGACAAACTGGTCTGATGTTTAGGTAAGTGAAGATCTGCTTCTCCAAGGCCTTGAGATGCTAGTAAAAATAATGTAGGCAGTGCTAATGTTACTTTTCTTCTCCTCTGAGGAACACAGAACGCTCAGATGTTGGAGCTTCACGTCACCTACTGAGGAGCACCAGTAAAGAGACGGCGTCTGGACCAGACCAAAGTGAGTGATGACACTTTAGCCCTACACCTCAGCCTCTAGGAGCCACCCTCATCATCATTAACTCATTCACTGCCATTGGCGACAAAAGTTGTCATTTTAAAAGGAACCCAGGTTACAAAACTCTGTGCTTCTGAAAAGATAAATGTTAGTATCAGTTATATTAAAATGGTGTAAAAAACCTTCTTGATGTCTTAATCTTTATAAAATTAGTAAAAATGGTTTAACTCGTAGATCGCCATTGTTGTTAGCGTCGCACTGCACTCTGGGTAGTGACGTCATATGGTTGTACCTCGGTTGCACCGGCGGCTTTGGGACCCTGTAGTGACTGTTGAGCGACATCAACACGTCATCTGTTCAGCCTTTTCACTTTGAACCAGAGCGAAACATTAATGATGACATCACTGACCATGTGTCACAAAACGAGCATCAACATGAAGAGCAAGAAGGGCGGGATGAAGCGAGAGCAGGACAGAACCGGTGGTGCGTGTGCAGCAAATGCGTCTCCATGGTAACCGAGAGGGAGAGAGCTCACATTTGTGTCAGCAGAAGTTATCTGTAAGCTATCGTGTGATCAGATTTATTCATGAATGATTTAGGAGAATTTTAGCATCCAGAGCTGTCGTGTGCTTCATAGATGATTAGGATGTTCAGTGTGTTAGCAGAGTTTCGTTTACCCAGCGGTTGGTCCAAGACTCCAAAATGAATCTCCAGGATTAAAAAGGAGGAAATAAATCCATATATAGAGCGTCTGTTTCACGGGCCTTCACTGGTGGTAGCACACACTGATTGCAGCCACTAAACACCAATGCTCCCTTTTATTGGTCACTTTATGGGGTCAAAGTTTAACTTCCTCTACAGGTACTTTTCAGTATAAAAGCATACATGTATATACACACACATTCTTATCTACATATTTACACAGATGCATAACATAACAGAGCATAACAGAGCACATTAGACTGATGCTTAACACAGTGAAACCACTTGAATCATTGTTGCAGATATTATATATGTGGACAACACTGTGTTGCTGCACTTACTGCTTGTTTTACTGACGGGAGAGCTGAACGTTCAGCTTCATCCGTGATGAGTGGCGTGTCCGATGGTTGGCTGAACGTGACAGAAGCAGCCGGAGCGGGTTATGGGCTCAGGACAGCGACCCCCCCCGTCTCCTACACATCTGTGGTCCCTCACACTCTCTATTGGACGCTCCTATAGAGAAACCTTACATAAACAAGTGCGTGTACACACACAGGTGCTCTCAAAAGTATGGGCTTGGGCACGTTCAACACAGGTCTTAAGGCTGTCGTTGCCACTAAATGCACTGTGATTTATTATCGTGTGATTGTTCAGTTAAACAATGTTGATTTTATATTTCATCATCAGGTTGACGCAGTGATAGCTTGCTCCTGATGTATTGTTCAGGGTGTCCCTTTTTTTTTTTAAATCTTTTCTCTTTCTGCAGGTCTAGAAGCAGACTCTAGTTCATTATTGTTTATTTTTGTGGAACCTCCCACCCCCTTCCCCCCATCTCCCCGCCTCTTGTCTTTTCCTTTCTCTTTCACCTCTGTCTCCGTGTCTGGTCGGAATTACAAAGCATTCAACAACAATAACAATAAAGTTTTAAGTATCAGGCGTGACATTAAAAGCAGACGCTTTGATGCTCCACCTGAGAGTAAATCTGTAAGGCTTGTTACCAGCATTCAGACATCAATTCTGTTTGCTTCACAGCCAGACAGGACACGGGGAAGAAAAAGAGACGAAATGAATACACACCCAAGCATCGTTCACAGGATCTCTCAGGGAACATCCGTTCTCTGAGGGGTTTTATTAGCAAGCACACACAACACATCACATCACATTCCTAAACTGCTCCGTAGAGATTCAGGTGGAAAGCTGTTTAACGTAGGGAGTAAAAACAATACCACAACTCCCTCAAACAAAACCAGGTGCATTCAGTCAACATGCTGTTTCCCATGGGAGTATAACTGATAACGCAGACCAGCGTGGTCTGAGGAAGGTGGTTGTCCTCCCTGTTGGACGGGGAAGAAGAAGAAGAAAATATCATTTCTATAGCGCCTCTCAAGATAAAAATCACGAAGGTCATACAAAAGCCAGCCTGAACAAGTGAGTCTTCAGCTGCTTTTTAAAGGAGTCCACTGATGTCAGGCTCAGGGGGAGAGAGTTTCAGAGTCTCGGGGCCACAGCAGCAGACAATCTGTCACCTTTGACCTTTAGCCTGGTGCTGCACAACCAGTAGGCTTTGATCACTGGACCTCAGGGACCTGCTGGGGGTGTAGGGACTAAGAAGATCACCAATGTAAGATGGTGCTTGTCCATGTAAGGCCCTATAGACCAGAACCAGGATCTTGAAATGAACCCTGAAGTTGACTGGCAGCCAGTGAAGCTGGAGGAGAAGCGGGGTGATGTGGGTGTGTTTGGAGGACTTGGTCAGAAGCCGAGCACAGGCGTTCTGAACCACCTGTAGACGGTTCAGGGAGGTTCTGCTCAGACACGTGAAAAGAGAGTTACAGTAGTCTAAGCGTGAGGAGATGAAGGTGTGGAGAACTGTCTCAAGTTCAGAGCGGGACAGAATGGGACTCAGCTTAGCAACGTTCCTGAGATGGAAGAAGGAAGAGCCAACAAGAGAACTGACATGAGAATCCAGGGTGAGAGCTGGGTCAAAGGTCACGGCAAGATTCCTGACGGAAGGTTTGGTGTAAGAAGCAAGCTGACCAAGAGAGTCTCTGACTTTGGGAACCAGCTTGTCTGGGGCACAGGTGAGGATCTCAGTCTTATCTTCATTCAGCTGAAGAAAGCTCCCACCATCCAGGTTTTGATAGAGTCTAAGCAGGTGTGTAACAGCTGCAGCTTAGACATCTCATGGGGCTTAAAGGAGATGTACAGTTGGATGTCATCTGCATAAAGATGGTAGGAGATTCCTTTGAAGGAGCTCAGGATGTGCTGAAGAGGAAGCAGATAGAGGATGAAGAGCAGAGGCCCCAGCACAGAACCTTGTGGGACACCAGTGTTTCCCTTACATAGGCGTAGCCGTGGCGGCCCGCCACGGCTGGATTCCCACTGCCACGCCTACAAGATCCCAAGTTTTTATTTTTTGTGCTGTTTCCCGAAGAAGCAGCGGGAACTACTATGTTGTCGCTTGTGATCTCAGCCGGAAGGCAGCAAGGAGGAGCAGGCAGGGCAAGGTGAAGTTACTGAGTTTAAAATTAGAAAGGTAGCAGTGGATATAATGCTTTGTGGTTTACATGTTTCAGCAGCATTAAGATAAACGAGTGTTGACGATCTTGACAGGTTCTCCTCCCCCCACCAGGCTAATCATCACTTATTCATGTAAAATTTATTTATTTTTTCATGTCTGACTTTAACCGCATCTAATACTGTATTACGGCGTGAGCGCAACAGCGACAACTTAAGATCGATGTGTGAGCAGCCTGAGAGGTCGGGTGTTTTCATCGGAACCCTTAAAACCTCCAGCAGGCTACGCTGTACTATTGACGTGTTAGCGCGCGGCGCTAACAACTTAGCGACGTGACATGTGTCGGAGAAAGCGTAAAAACACGTTGGACGCTTCTTCTGAAGCCGGAAAATGACACCTCTTCTTAAGCAGAGCACGACGTCGCCTCGGCTCGTTCACGGCCGGACTGAGCTCGATAACATTGACCCAGCACAGCCACTGGGTCGTTGGAGCTGCCCCATGACTGCCTGATGGAAAACCAGCGGGTTTCATCAGACTGGTAAAGTTTCTTGTTTTTGCTGGGGACCCCCTGTATTTTACCGCTCCCTCCTGCAGTCTTCCCCTATTAACATTTAAAATGATTCTGTAAATCCGTGTATCAATAGAAACAATCTCTGCCTCTGCCAGCTGCAGTAAATGTAATCTCCAAATAATAAATGTTTAGGTTTATGTATTTAGCAGACGCTTTTGTCCAAAGCGACTTACAAGTGATAATCGGCATGTTGCCCTTGAGGCTAACAACAACAATAACAACAACAAATTGACATCAATCATGGAGAGGAGGGAACAAGGAGTGGACAGTAGGGAGGGGGGACGGGTGCAGGGAGGGTGCTAGTTTAGAAGATGCTCTCTGAAGAGCAGGGTCTTCAGGAGTTTCTTGAAAATAGAAAAGGAAGCTCCTGTTCTGGTGGTGCTTGGAAGGTCATTCCACATTTGTGGAACGATGCATGAGAAGAGTCTGGATTGTCCTGAGCGTGGTGTAGGCACTGCTAGCCGACAATCCTGTGATGACCGGAGCGGCCGGGCCGAGACGTAAGCCTTTGCAAGAGGATTCAGGTAGATGGGAGCCGTACCGTCTCGGACTTTGTATGCTAGTGTTAGCAGTTTGTATTTGATGCGTGCTGCTAGCGGTAGCCAGTGGAGCTCAATGAACAGAGGGGTGACGTGTGCTCTTTTAGGCTGATTGAAGACCAGACGCGCCGCTGCATTCTGGATCATTTGAAGAGGTCTCACAGTCCAGCCTGGAAGACCAGTTAGAAGGGCGTTGCAGTAATGGAGGCGGGAGATGACAGTAGATTGCACCAGGAGCTGGGTGGCATGTTGTGTTAGGTATGGTCTGATCTTACGTATGTTACACTGCGCAAAGCGGCATGAACGGGCAACAGAGGCAACATGATCTTTAAAGGTCAGGTGTTCATCAATCACAACACCCAGATTTCGAACTGCCTTTGAAGGAACCAGCGATAAACACATCTTCTGGTAGACTGCAGGTGGCAGATGTTATGGTTTCCTCCCAGACTCGCTGGCGTTCAGGTCTTAATCTGTGGGTGAAAGTTCTCAGCGACCCTGCTTTGACACAGCTGAGTCCAACACCACCTTTGTGATAGAAAACCCATATTTCCTCACGTTACAGTGAAAATCCCAGTAACTGAGCAGATTGTGAAATACTCAGACCGGCCCGTCTGGCACCAACAACCATGCCACGCTCAGATTAGCTTAAATCACCTTTCTTTCCCATTCTGACCTTCAGTGTGGAGTTCAGGAGATGGTGTTGACCAGGACCACGCCCCTAAATGCAGGGTGGTAGAGACATATGGAGACGGTCGTTCTGAGACATGAGACTGTGTGTTTTTGGTGAACATTAATGCAGGAGTGTGTAAAACAGCTCATGTTTAATTAAAATTAAATAAAATATTTATTTAACTTGACATAAATTGTAATGCTTGACTGTTGTGCTACAGCCATGGGAGGAACATTTTGGGTCCCAGCCAGATTCTCTGCTTCCCTGCTGCTCTCTCCATCATCATGCTGCTCCTTGCTCTGCCTCTCCACTTGTCTCTCCTTCACTCACCTCCTCCACTTCAGCCTACTTGTCTAATATATTAGCCACATGTTAGATTCCCTTCAGTCACCAATAGGAACGTTGGGAATATCACACGTATCACGGTACAGATCACTCAGAGGGAACTGGGTCACGATAAAGAACAATGAGCATCTTCATCTAACGTTACCTCAACATCTTCCTCGGCTTCCTTCCTCTTCTTCTGAAAATGCGAGCAGAAATGAGTCTCGGTGGGAACATGACCCGACATGAAGCTGTACGCTGTTACCGATCTGGAATTACGCATTAACGACACACCACATTGACTACGTTACTGTTCACATGTAGCAGCGTGCGTTAGCATGAAGCTGGTTTTCACAGGTCTGAACTAAAAATGCCTTCTTCTAACGTAAGGTTCCTTTCTTCCACCTTTTCTCTCCCTGTAGTTTTCTTTAACTCGTGAGAGCAGCGCACCGCACAGAAGCCGGCTCCTTCGCACACGGGGAAAAACGGCAGTACTGGTTTTTCAAAGTAAAATACATTTTAAAGTTTTGTTATATTTAAATTCATTTTAAACGGTGATAATTCATTCTCTGTAGTTTTGTGTCAGTTTAAGGAAGAAGGAAGAGCTCCTGAAGAACTGAGGCCTCCTTTGAACCAGAAGGACATGGAGCCCCTCAACATGAAGCAGGAAGAGGAGGAGCAGCTTGATGAGATTAAAACTGATGCCACCAACATTTCATTCTCTGCAGTTTCTCATCAGGTTAAGGAAGAAGGAAGAGAAGTTCTGTTGTCACAGTTTGATCAGAACCAACCTAAAGACAGAGATCTTCCAACCAGCAGCACCACTGACCAGATGAAAGCAGAAAGTGGTAGAGAGGACTGTGGAGGAGCAGAAACTACCAGGAATCCAGATCTAAATCTTTATGAATATGATTCTAACTCTTCAGAGACTGAAGTCAGCAATGATGAAGATGATGACCAGGATGGCAGCAATTCTGACTGTCAGCTGAAACTCTTGTCAGATTCTGAGCCAAACACCAAAGATGATAACAAAGACTGGAAGGAGAGCAGGTCTTCTAAATCACATGTTAAGGCTGTCAAATCTTTCAGCTGCCCAGAGTGTGGTGAACAGTTTCTCCATGAGCGGTCTCTCCAGAAACACATGAGAGTGACAAGTCATTCAGGACTGAAGTCTTCAAGCTGTTGTGTTGATAAGAAACGTGTTAGAGTGAAGCAAAATGTAGACTCTAGCAGGAAAGTTCAGACAAAACTAAAATCATTTAGTTGTGACGACTGTGGAAAAAGTTTCAGCTGCATATCTTATTTAAACATTCACATGAGAATTCACACTGGACAGAAGCCTTTTGCTTGTGAGCTCTGTGAAAAAAGATTTAGCCAAAAGGGACATTTAGACACACACATGAGAATCCACACTGGACAGAAGCCTTTTACTTGTGAGCTCTGTGGTCAAAGATTTACCCAAAAGACAAGTTTAAACAGACACACGAGAATCCACACAGGACAGAAGCCTTTTACTTGTGAGCTCTGCGGTCAAAGATTTACCCAAAAGACAAGTTTAATCATACACATGAGAGTTCACACAGGAGAGAAGCCTTTTGCTTGTGAGCTATGTGGACAAAGATTTAGTGATAAGTCAAGTTTAAACAAACACATGAGAGTTCACACAGGGGAGAAGCCTTTTGCTTGTGAGCTCTGTGGACAAAGATTTAGTGATGAGTCAAGTTTAAAGAAACACATTATAGTCCATACAGGACAGAAGCCTTTTGCTTGTGAGCTCTGTGGACAAAGATTTAGTCGAAAGGCACATTTAATCCGTCACACGAGAATCCACACAGGACAGAAGCCTTTTGCTTGTGAGCTCTGTGGACAAAGATTTAGTCATAAGACAAGTTTAAACACTCACATGAGAGTCCACACTGGACAGAAGCCTTTTGTTTGTGAGCTCTGTGGACAAAGGTTTAGTGTAAAGTCTAGTTTAAACAAACACGTGAGAGTCCATACAGGACAGAAGCCTTTTGCTTGTAAGCTCTGTGGACAAAGATTTAGTGTAAAGTCAAGTGTAGACACTCACATGAGAGTCCACACTGGACAGAAGCCTTTATCTTGTGAGCTCTGTGGACAAAGATTTAATCAAAAGTCACAATTAAACAGTCACATGAGAGTTCACACAGGGGAGAAGCCTTTTGCTTGTGAGCTCTGTGGACAAAGATTTAATCGAAAGTCACATTTAAACAGTCACATGAGAGTTCACACAGGGGAGAAGCCTTTTGCTTGTGAGCTCTGTGGACAAAGATTTACCCAAAAGGGACAATTAGACCCACACATGAGAGTCCATACAGGACAGAAGCCTTTTGCTTGTGAGCTCTGTGGACAAAGATTTAGAGTAAAGTCACATTTAAACAGACACATGAGAGTTCACACAGGACAGAAGCCTTTTGCTTGTGAGCTCTGTGGACAAAGGTTTACCCTAAAGGGACATTTAGACACACACATGAGAGTCCATACAGGACAGAAGCCTTTTACTTGTGAGCTCTGTGGACAAAGATTTAGTGTAAAGTCAAGTTTAAACAGACACATGAGAGTTCACACAGGACAGAATTAATTTACATTATTAAAATATACATTTTGGGACTTCTAAGGGTGTTGAATAAAATGTGCTACTGATCTGGAAGCTCTTTTAACTAAAATGAAAGGCAGCAGTTTTATTAAATGTTTTGTTTTTGGAGAAGAAAAGGTTGAAAATGAAATGTTTGTTTGCCACTCAAGTGTTTTATTAAATCTTTGTTCACTATTCAGTTTGTTGTTTGCTGTTTCTGGAGTTTAAACGTAAATGCTGATGTTTTGCAAAGTGAGAAGGCTCGCCATCAAAGTCACCAGATTAATCCACTCATGTAATTATCTGTCATGCAAATAAACCTGATCAAAAATTAATACCTATATTATCCATATTGTTTGGCATCCAAATACAATTGGAAACTCGGATTCACAGTTAGCAAAAGTATAAATCTGGTTTTCTCAAAAATTGACTTTTTTTGTAACAGTTATTAACCAGAATATGTACAATGAACAGTTTTTAACGTTTTTCAGGTAAAATAGTGCAAACTTATTTGAAATAACAGCATAAGATTTGCTCACCGATTCCAGAGTTCATCTAGCTCCACTGCACGGTGTAGCGGCTCTCCCTCGCACATCTACACATAACATTTTACTTTCTGTAATTACAAATCCAAGTTTCACTGTGACATATAGAAAAAGTTCATGTACAAGTTAGAAGGTTTTACTTTGCTGTTTAACGCTAACAGGGTAAGCACTGGATGGAAAGGTAGCAAAAGCAGGTTAGCTTCATGTGGCACTCAGCAAACTGGACAAAACCCGCCACTTCCATCGGTCTAGCTGCTTCACTTCACTCCCAAACCAAGGAAGATTCATCCACCGGCAATGGTACCAACTAATCCAGCTTCTTTTTTCCATTCTTTCTGTTTTTGTAATGTCTGAGGTGCAACCTGAGGTGGAAAGAGTACTACAACTTCCTACTTAAAGGTATAGCAATCGATGTTTCTGAATGTCAGGAAAGAACTGCCCTCTCCACGTTGCGCAACACTCTCCCAGCGCCTGTTTACAAGTAGCTGTCGGCCGTAATGTGTAATAAGAGGCTCTTAAAACAGCATGCAGAACGTTAGCTTACCTCTCGAGCAGAAAACCGGCAACAGCGGCGTCTGTGGAGAGCAGACTGGACCGCGTTATCCTCTTCCTGATTTCCATGAAAGTGCGGGGGTGCACAGAGTACGCATGCGCAGGAAGTGAAAACTAACCCAGGATTGGCTTCACCAGAAATTTACATTTTTGCAGACCAATGGTTGACGTGATCCACCCGGAAGAAAAACATCGATTGCTATACCTTTAAATACGAGTACCAATACTTTGATAATTTTTTACTCAAGTACAAGTAAAAGTACTTGCCTAAATTTTTACTCAAGTAAATTTAAAAAGTATCTTAAATTAAATATACTCGAAGTAAAAGATACTTGGTTACATTTTTGTCAGTGTAAGGATGGCTACATCTAAGCAGTGAAAAATCACAACGCCAGTTCACAACACGCTTGTGTGCATGCTCACACACACACACACACACACACACAGTTTGATGGAGGGATTTTTATCCAATCAGTGATAAATGGACGTGCACATTGATTGGACGAGGTTCTTCTAGGATTGTGATTAAAATTATTCTTTATTTTGAAAAAAATTATATATTTTAGACACCATCAGTGTGTGAGGTATCTCAATGTTCTCATGACTAAACTCTAACATGAGACTGTGCTCTAACCTGTCACATAACAAGCTAAATGAAAGTCAGACATTTCAGATGGACCGTATGACAGCTGCTAACGTCGGCCCTGGCCTACTTTACCTCTACATTACAGTTCCTTTATCCATGTCCATCCTATAGCTCCTCTCTGACCTTCATGCTTATTTAGAGCAGCTGATGTTTAAAGTTAGCAGAGTTCATCCTTGGTAGTGGGTTCACTCACTCATTTAACCCTTCACCACTGAAATCAGTTTGTTCATCCCAATCCTCCTAAATAATCCTCTGTAGCGTGGTTAACTACATACTAGGATTTAACACTGTTTGCTTCAGTTTGGTTAGATCCTGAGAAAAGATCGGACATTAGCATATGAACTTACATTATGCACAAATATCTAGGATATTAATGCAATCGTTCATACACCAACTGTCTTGGTCTATATTTTAATCCAAAGATTAATGTTTAATTTAAGATAATTAAATATAATAGCAAAAGGTTATTTACTGAATCAGAAGTTAGGAATCTTTGCTTATTCAATAACCAAAATATATACACCATTCTGTGTTTGATTTCAAAGAAGAGTCAGGTTTTTAAAAGTTAAGAATTTATTACTGACACTTTTAAAAATGACAATTTGAAACAGCTTGATATTAAAACTTGTTATTAAACAAACCTGTGTCTGGATGGACAGGGCCGGCTCTAGGTAATTTGGTGCCCAAGGCGAGAGTGCCCATGTGCCCCCCCCCCCCCCCCCCCGTGCCCACCCAAACCCAAGTCCACCCACCCACCACACATTGGAAAAAGCAACTCCACAGTGATTCCTTAGTTACTAATTTTTTATTTTAAATACTCACACAGCAACTCTTTAAAGTCAACAGCCTGAAGAATAAATGTAAGCTTGAAAGATAAGTAACCTGAGAATATTACAATAACCAACAACTCAAAATGTTGAGCAAATGTCATGGGGGGGGGGGGGGGGGGGTGCAAAATCAACAGCAGCATTAAACTGTGCAATCAAAAGCAAAACTCAAACATCAAAGTGTCATCATAAAGAAAGTTCTACTTTCCATTTTGTTCTACTGCTGTGGCCAGTCAGCAGGATCCATGGGGCCAGCAGCTCCTACATGTTCACACACATCTGTTGAAGCTGATGATGGTGTCTCTTCAGGCTGTTGGAGTGGAGCACTGAGTCTGCTGGTGTTGGGTTCTTCTTCTGTGAGAAAATAAACACACACACACACACACACACACACACACACACACACACACACACACACACACACACACACACACACACACACACACACACACAAAGTAACTTAACCCTCTGATGCATGAATTAAGAACAGCGCCACTTTCATGTTCAGTATTCCTCGGTCATGTGCAGTGATGCTTTTCATTATTTTTAATGTTACTGGACTTTTTATTTTATTGATCTTTTTTCATCTGTTCTATGAAAACATGAATAAAATGATCAAAAACAGGTGGAAGTGGGGAATATTTGAAAAAACTTATGTCTCACTCTCAGGTGCTCTTCAGCATCAGATAAATGTAGAACATGAGGAAGAAGAACCGGTGATCTGAGGCACTCTGAGGATTTCATTTATTAAACAAGGAAACACCGACGCGTTTCGGTACGACCTTCTTCAGGACATAAACCTTTATACCTTGAAGATGACTCATGTCACAAAAACTAACGTCCATCCTTTTTTTACAAATTTACAGCCTAATTGACAATAACATCTTAAGGAGACAATTTCAGATGTGTATGTTCTCATTATTTAATATTCTCAATGCTAAATCAATGCTGCACTGATTGTGCCAGAAACAAGTGTCTGGTGTGGATTTAAATAAATTAATTTTACATATCGATATATGTGATAAGCCGTTTAATTTGAAAAAGCCCGTTTCTACTGCTGATTACAAATAGCCTAACAAGTAACTTACTCACCTGCTTCTAGATGCTGAGACTGTAGCTCAGTAAATGTGCTGCTGCTGCGTGATGCCTGGATGAAGACGCTGCAGCGTAAACAAGAAAGAGACGGCATAAGATGTCATGCTGTGTTTAGGCAGTTCTCAATCCCCGCCGGGCCCGGCGGCAGCGGGGGAGTCCCCGCCACGGCCGCGGCGGTGCCGCCCGCCCGACATGAAGGACAAAGTTGAAAATTTGCTACACCCACACCTAACGTTCTTCTGATATACAAATATTAAATTCATATTGTATGCGTACTTAAAACTTGAAACAACGTTCATAAAAAGGCTGCAATCAAGCTCCAAAAACCAGTAAAAAATCTTACATTCTTCATCATCACAGTGAGACTCAACATTGTCTCACTGCATCTGGACACGACGATTCAAAAGTAAAATGAATGGGTTAAAGTTACAGATACTGTATTGTGTGTGTAAACAGCTAGCGAGGGTCCGTCCGTGGACCGTGCGTGGCAGGAGAGGCAGTTAGCTACAATGCTAACGCAAAAAGTTCCTTTGCAAAACTTATAAAGTCTACATACCTCTGCTTTGGGCCCGTTTTTATTCTTCTTCCTTCCTTCGCTTTGGGAATGCTGATCCCGATGGCTTAGGTGTTCTTTTCATCGTAAAATATCAAAAGTTTAAAAGCAACTACAACAGGATGTCCTTCTGTGCTACCCACACACGTGATCTCTATGGCACCCTTAACGGTCAAATGCTTCAGAGCGGTGGCCCAAGCGGGAGCTCGAAATGCAGCCAGATCATTAGAATTTAAATATTGATGTTTTAATTTCATGTCATTTCAGAGGGGAATTTTGAGTGTGTAGAGAGCGCATTTCATATAACAAACATAAACTTAATAAACTTTTTATTTTGCACCCTGTTCATCAGATGGAGCCCTAGGGCCGCCTGTCAGCAAAGCCGGTGTCGGTACAGGATCTGCTCGGGTGCAAAATTGGCTCGGGGTCCGTCGACTGCCGATGACGTCTAAGTAGTTGATTGGCTGAACATTACGGAATTACGTAATCACGTTACGTTGTTATCACGTTACGTTGGTCCAGGCAAATCTTTCTGTTGGAAAGATGGACAACTTTTACAAAGAAATCCATCATTACCTCTTTGAAAATACACTTTTAGCATAGAGCTGCATGTATATTAGCAGGGCCAGATTAAGACTTTGTTGTACCCTGGGCAACAATATTCAAGGGCCCCATCATCACGACCCAAGGATCACCATAATATGGTCACATACAGAATATTTTACTGTAATATGCAGTAAATATACTCAATGCTTGAATGCCTGACATCACGTAACCCGCTCAGGGTAACCTTTGACCCACCTTGTGTGGACTGACCAATGAGGAGAGGGTCTTAACTTGAGGCCGTCTCTTCATTGGTCAGTCTGCATGAGACTGACTCTCAACTGACGTCCAGTCATAGGCAGCGAAGCGTCTCTGTGCAGCGCAAAAGCCCGGGTGGACAGTTTGTTTAATATAGGGTGATCATATTTCCATTTCCAAACAAGAGGACAGGGGATCTGTGCCTATGACGTCACTATGGCAACGCCACACAAACCACGCTGGGACCCATTTTTTGTAAGAACTACATTAATATCAGATTCTGTCAATAAAAGGGCTCTAAAACAATTCATATGTA